AATGTCTCTGAAAAAGCAAGCTATCCCACATAATACATAAGTGCAAAGCAAGATGTCACCCCCAAAGGGTGACAGAGTATCAATGGATTTCCTGAAGCCAGAAAGTCTGATGGAACTTTCTGACACAGAATTTAAAAGAAGAATGATAGAATATAATCAATGGATAAAAGACAAACTTGAAGAATTACAGGACACTACAAGCAAAAACCAGGAGCTCAAAAAAAAACCAAAAAAACCCAACAAAACAAAACAATCCAGAACAATGCAGAGAAAACAAATGAGGCTATCCAAAATATAAGGTCCAATGTTTCAGAGGCTGTCAATATGATAGAAGGACACATGAGCAGAGTTGAAGAGATGGAACACAGAACCAGTGAAACTGAAGACAGAATTGTCACCATTGATCTGCTAGAGCAAAAAGCAGACTCAAAAAAGAAGGAAAAAGAAGAAAACCTAAGAATAATGTGGACACCATCAAAAGAAATAACATGAGCATCATTGGAATCCCAGCACAGGAAGAAGCAAGTAAAGGCTCTGAAAAAGTTAAGGATTTCATTTTACTTGGGTTCACAGCCAACGTGGGGGGTGGGGGTGGGGAGAGGATGCTTTAAAGAACATCTTTTTGAAGGCTGAGGTTCCCTGACCCAAACTATAGTATTTTCAATAAACAAAAAATAAACTAGAAATTATGAGAATGGCACAGGACAGGATAGAGCTCAGATATGTTATTCACAGGGTCACTATGAGTCAAACTTGACTGAATGGCATCTAACAATAACAAAATATAGGGAACTCAGTGGCCTAGTGGTAAGAAGCTGAGCTACAATTACAAAAGCATGTGGTTCAAATCCACCAAATGCTCCACAGAAGAAAGATTGGCATTCTCCTCCCAAATAATTTACTGCATTTGAAAACCCATTAGAGGATCAGCTATAGGTCAGTTATGAGTAGGCACTAAACAATGACATCCACAGAGCCATGAATAAGGAAGACTGAAGAACTGATGCCTTTTTAATCATGTTTTTGATAAAGAATATTAAACATATCATGGGCTGTCAAAGAGTGAATAAATCTGTCTCAGAAGAAATTCAGCCAGAATGCTCATTACAAGTGAGAAAACTTGGTCTGAAATGCTTTGGACATGTCATCCAGGGGGACCAGTCCCTAGAGATGCACATCATTACTGGATAAAGTAGTTGCCATCAAGTCAGCCCTGACTCATAGAGATCTTATGGATAACAGAATAACACACTGCCAAATCCTCCACCATCCCACAGTTGCTGCTTTGCCTGATGCCACCATTCCTGCCACTGTGTTACCCATCTTGCTGAGGGTTTTCTTTTACTGACTCTCTCTCCTCCACCAAGGGCAATGTCTTTCTCTAGAGATTAGGCCCTCTTGAGAACATACCTCCAATTTGTGAGGCAAAACATTATCCTCTTCACCTCCGAAGAGCATTCTGGCTGTACTGCTTTCAAGTCAAATTTGTCTGTTTGGCAATTCATAGAAAGTGCAGTATTTTTCATCAACACAATTCAAAGGCATCGATTCTTCTCAGAGCTTCCTTATTCATTGTCCAGATTTCACGGGTATGTGAGGTGTCTTGGGTTAGGCACACCTCAATCCTGAGAGTGACATCTTTGTTCTTTAAAGAAAGGGCTTTAAAGAAGCCCTTTATAAGCAGATTTGCCAAATGCAGTATCTTTTCTTTCTTTACTGCAACTTCCAGGGTATTAACCGTGTCTTTGAGTAAAATGAAATCTTTGACAACTCCAATCTTTTCTCTATTTATCTTAATGCCGTCCATTGGCCTATTTGTGAATATTTTCCCCCTTTATATTATATATATATAGGTATAATCCACGGTTGTGGTTACATTTTAACATTGTGAAGGGGAAAAAAAACCATTGTGGGGTATAATTGTCCTCCATTTTGTGTTCTGATGTGACTGTAGTTTATAAATGCTAGTCTCTATGCTTGTAGTTATGGTCTTAATTGAGAATAAATTGTCCATTGTGTTAATGAAGCACAATAAGGGAGGGCTGTATCTTGTATATTAGTCACCAACCTTACCCTAGTCACTATATTTACATTTGTTCAAGTTAGCACCTTTTATTGCCTTACCGAAATGATACCTGTGCTTGAGCTGTATCTTTCATCTTACAAGATGTGAAAGAACAGGACATCTGGGTAGGATGGCAGAGTACATAGACAGTTCAAGCCCTATTCAAAGACATCAGAAAACAAATATAATCCTGGAATGCCAAGAATAAAGAGGAAGACTTGAAGAAAAATATAGAATAAAAAGAAAGATGGTACAGAGTATCATAAATAGTAAAGCCATTTTGAACAACTATTTGTTTGTGGTGGTAACTCTGGCTACAGAATTGATTTTCCACACTGGTGATTAGCTGATGGGAAATGTACAATATTCCTTTTTGTTCCTCAGGCCTTTCTGGAGATTGGGAGAGACTTTCCCCTAACACCAACCACCAGGTAGCTGGCAGTGTTGACCAGCTTTTCTTGGCTTTGCTTGATGTCAGACCTGAGCAATGTTTTGTATTTGGCACCAGGAGCTTACATGGCTCACAGCCTCCCTCACCATTCTGGCAACCGCCATATTGTGTCATTCCTGGCCTCACAGATTAATGGGAAGCTACAACTATTTCAGGAAGTACCATATGGTCAAGAGTCAATGGTAATGAAAGAAGTTCAAGTTGCAATGAAGGCATTAGCAAAAAAATAAGGCCCCAAGAATCAATGGCTTACCAATTGACATGTTTCAACTAACAGATGCAGCCTAAAAATTTGGGGGACAGCTGCTTGGCCAACTGACTGGAAGAGGTCCATATTTGTCCTCATCCCCAAGAAAGGTGACCCAACAGAATGTGGAAAATATCAAATAATGTCATTAATAGCATAAGAAAGCAAAATACTGCTGCTGATCATTCAAAAATTACTAAAACCATACATAACTAGAGAACTGCCAGACATTCAAGCTGGACTTAGAAGAGATTGTGGCACCAGGGATATCATTGCTGATGTCAGATGAATCTTGGCTGAAAGCAAGGAATTCCAGAGGAATATTTATTTGTGCTTTGCTGACTATGCAAAGGCATTTTATTGTGGGGATTACAAAAAATTATGGCTAACCTTGAGAAGAAAGAGAATACCAGAACACTTAATTGTACTCATGTGAAACCTATACCTAAACCAGCAAGCTGTTGTGTGAACAGAGCAAGGGAATAGTGCATTATTTAAAATTAACAAGGGTGTGTGTCAGAGTTGTTGTGTTTCCTCCATATCTATTTAATCTGTATACTGAGGAAATTATTTGACATGCAGGATTCTATGAAGTAGAATGTGGCATCAACATTGTAGGAAGACTCACAACCTTGTTTGCTGAAAGTGAGGAGTACTTGAGAAACTTGCTGCAGAAGATCAAACACTACAGCCTTCAATATGGATTGCATCTCAACATCAAGGAAACAAAAATCCTCACCACTATCCCTATAGGTGACATCCTAATAGATGGAGAAGAGATTTAAATGGTCAATGACTTCATCTTACTTTGATCCACAATCAATACACTTGGTTTCAGCAGTCAAGAGATCAGGAAACATATTGCAGTGGGAAAGTCTGTAGTCAGGGACTTTTCCAAATTACTGAGGAGCAATGATGTCAGTTTGAGAGCTAAGGTGAGGACTGATTCAGATTATGGTCTTTTCAATCACTTGCTATGCATCTGAGAGCTGAATGATGAATGAAGGTGACAGAAGAAAAAAATTATGCCTTTGAACTGTGGTGTTGGGGAAGAGTACTCAGTATCCCATGGACTACCAAAAGAACTCAATATCCCATGGACTACCATTTATATTTTGGAGCCAGAGTGCTCCTTGGAAGCAAGGATAGTGAAACATCATCTTACAGACTTGGGCACGTTGTTAGGAGTGATTATTCGTTGGAGAAGGGTATCATGCTTGGAAAAGTGGAATGACAGCAAAGGAGAGGGAGACCCTCAACTAGATGGATTGACATAGTGATTGCAGCTACAAGGTCAAGTATGTCAGAAATTGTAATAATACAACAGGTTTCAGATCGGTTGTTCACATGATCACTATGAGTTGTATTCAACGTAGTGTTACCTAACAACAACAACAACAACAAACAACTTTCTCATATTCTCTGCTTTCAACCAACATCTGTCGGATATCAGCAATGATATCCCTAGTTCTAGTACCTCTTCTTAATTCAGCTTGAATTTTTGAAAGTTTCCTGTTGAGGCAATGTTACATCTGTTTGTTTCTTGTGATTTTTTTTTAATCATCTTCAGCAAAATCTTGCTTACATGCTGTAATGAAAACATTGTTCAATAATTTCTGCTTTCCCGTGGAAGGGAAAAAATATGAATCTCTTATAGTCAGTTGACCAAATCGCTTGTCTTCCATATTTGTTGGGAGACAGTGGTGAACACATCCAGGGTTGCATTTTTTTCCCTGAGACATGGCAATTGGTATTCCATCAATTCCTGGGGCCTTGTGTTTTCCCAGTGACTTCAGTGCAGTTTTAATTTTTTTCCTTCATTACCACTGGCTCTTGATCATATGCTGCTGCTTGAAATGATTCAATGTCAACCAATTCCTTTTAGTACTGTGACTGTGTATTCTTTCCATCTTCTTTTGATGCTTCCTGCATTATTTAAGATTTGGCACATAGAATCCTTCAGTGTTATAACTTGAAGTTTGAATTTGTCAATTTTTTCATCTTGAGCAATGCAAACTTGTTCTTCTTTTTTATTTTCTAACTCCAGCTCATTGAACTTTTTTTTTTATTAACAATAAGATTTATTGAGCTGTATCTTAGCACAGACACTGGGGCTTGCCCATGGTGCTCTTGATGTACAGAGCCCAAACATTCTGCCAATTCTTCTTTAGCAGTGAAACCAGGAAGTTGACAGCCAGGTGGATGTTGTAAACAAGTTCATCATCTGCCCTCTTCACATGGCCAACAGCCACTGCCAGACACAGGACCTTTTTCATCTGGAATCTGATGGTGGACTTCACCTCGTCTACTTTTGCCACCATGTTCTCATTGTGGGTCAGCAGAGAAGGGAACTTGCCAGCCTTATTCAGCCCTGGACCTAGGATTCTTGGGATCTGCTTGATCAGGGATTCTGAGACCAAAAAGGCATCATACTTCTTGGCCAGCTTTTTTACCAGTTTCTTATTCTTGTTGAGTTTTTTCAGTGCTTCGATGTCCATGTGGGGGATATCCACAGCTTTGGCTTCATCACAGTGCTGCTGATCCCCAAGAACACACACAGAGAACTTGGGGCGTGGGGTGGACTTAAGCCTGACGGTCCCCGACAAACGCTTGTCCTTCTGAGGGTCATAGTTCTTCAAACTGATCTGCAGTTTTACCGTCTCCAAAAATTTTCTGCGTTTGCGCTGGTTCCCATGCAGGACTTCCCACACCACCTCATAGAGGCTGTCGAAAGAGACTTTGCTATTCATGGTTCCTAGCGCCACAGTAACTGGAAAAGTCATTGCACATTTAGTTATCATGCTTTGCTTTGTCTTCTCTAGCTTCCCTTTGAAACCTTTAGTCCAGCTCCCTAACCTCAGAATTCCCCCGTTTTGCTTATTTTTTTCTAATGCAAGTTTCAGGTCTCTTCTGACCTCTGTTTTGTTCTTTTTTTTCTTCCTTGTCTTGGTTATAACTTTATGTTTTCTTCATGGATGATGTCCTTCATGTCATCCTATAACTCGTCTAGTCTTCAGTCATTAGTATTCAATGTGTCAAATCTGTCCTTAAAATGGTTTTTAAATTCACTTGGAATATGTGCAATGCAATATATTTAGGTTCTCATGGACTTGTTTTAGCTTAATTCACCTTCAATCTGAACTTGCTTATGAGTAGTTGATGGTCTGTTCAATAGTTAGCCCTTGGCCTGATTTTGACTGCTGTTACTGAACTTGTTGTATGTCTCTTTCCACATATGTAGTTAATCTGATTCCTGGGTAGTCCATCAGGTGAAGTACATATGTATAGTTGCTATCTATGTCTGGTGTGGGTGGTTTGTTTAGTTTTGTTTTTTTAAAAAGATATTTGCCATGCATAAATAAAATTCAAAATTATATCATGCAATTTCCAGATTCTTTTCTGTCACCAAGGCCATATTTTCAAACTACCATTCCTTCTCCTTTGTTTCCAACTTTTGTATTTCAGTCACCAATTATTATTGATGCGTCTTGATTATATATTTGATCAATTTCATACTGTAAAAATTTGTAGAAATCTTCAACTTCTTTGTCTTCGATTTCATAGTTGGTGCAGATATTTGAATAATTGTTGTATTATGAGTACTTCCTTTTTTATAAAGACTTTCTTGTATGCAGATGGATAGTATCTTATCACGCATAGCTTTGGCTCACAGTACTTACATAGCACTTTAGGATGGATCTTGTAACACTCCTTTAACTACAAATGCCACACCATTCCTATTCAATATGCCATTTACATCCTAGCTGATCATGTGATTGTTTGATTAAAAATGGCCAATATGAGGGAGTTCTGGTGGCCTAGAAACAAGAAGCTGTGCTGCAATCCTGAAGGTGCACACTTCGAGTCTGCCAGATACTCTGCTGGAGAAGGAGGGGCAATCGCCTCCTGTGCCAGTCAGATCTGATTCTACGGTACACAACAAGAAGAGAAAAAAAAACGGGCAATATGAGTCCATCTCTATGTGTTTCATTTAAATTTTTATAAATCCAAATTTTCATAGATTAATATTTTGCAAATTCATTTTTCTATTATTAACCGATGTTTTCAGTTGTTCTCATTCTGAATCTTCCCATTATTAATGGATCTTTGTAACTCTTTCTCCTCATTTGAGTCTGGTCACATCAGCAAATCAATAACCACCAATAGTCAAAGACCACTTGAACTATGGAATGACATCAAAGATATTATCCATGCAAAAGATAAATAAAGAAAGGTAAACAAGGAAGGAAGAGGAAAAAAATGAATGTCAAATGCATGTCCAAAGAGACTGAAAGTTGCACTGGAGCATCGAGAAACCAAAACAAAAGGAAGAAATGCCAAAATAAAAGAGGTGAACAGAAAATTTCAAGGACACTCAAGATGAGAAGGTAAAGTACTAGCACAGATTGTACAAAGAGCTGGAGTTTGAGAATAAGAATGAAAGGATCCATTCAGTATTCCTAAATTTGAAATAACTGAAAAAACAAATCCAAGCCTGAAGTTGCAATATGGAGATAGGGTATGGCAAAATCTTGAATGACCTGTTGTTGTTGTTATGTGCTGTCAAGTTGCTTGCAACTCATAGCGACCCTGTGTGCAACAGCTCTGAACACCGCTCTATCTTGAGCCAATTGCATTGTCTCCAACACACCTGCCCTATTAATCCAGTCACTGAGTCAATTCATCTCATCAAGGATTTTCTTCTCTTTTACTGTCCCTCTACCCTTTCAAGCATGATGTCCTTCTCCAAGGATTAGTCCTTTCTGGCAATATGCCTAAAGTATGTCAAATGGAGCTTCAGAATTCTTGTATCCAAGGAGCAGCCTGGTTTCACCCTCACCAGGACAGACCTATTTGTTCTCTTAACAGTCCCTGGTATATTCAACACTCTTCTTTAGCACTACAACTCAAGACATCAATTCTTCTTCTATCATCCTTAGTCATAGTCCAGCTTTCTAAGGATAACAAGTAATTGCAAAGACCATGGCCTGGACCAAGTGCACCTTAGTCTATACACTGACATAATTGCTCTTCAGTACTCTGGAGAGGTTCCTGAGAGCAAACTTTCCCAACGTAATTCATCTTTTGATTTCCTGGCTACTAGTACTAAGAGTGTTGATTGTGGAGCCAGGCAAGCTGAAGCTGTTAAAAATCTCAATCTCTTCACTGTCTATCATGATGGAGAAATTGGCACAGTGGTGAGAATCTTTGTTTTCTTGATGTTGAGCTTCACTCCATATTGAAAGCTGAAATCCTTGACCTTCTGCAACAAATGCCTCAGGTTTTTCTGTTTCCACAAGCAAGGTTGTGTCAACTACATAACACAGGCTGTTGATGAGTCTTCCTCTAATCCTGATGCCACCTTCCTCTTCATGGAGTCCAGCCTCTTGGATAATATCTGTTCTAAATTTAGGTTGGAAAGTTATAGAGAAAGGATACATCTCTGAATTCACCTTTCCTGATTTTGAATCATGCAGTGTTTCCTTGCTCTCTTCTGATTTTGGGGGAATCCCATTCTTCTCAAAGTTAGTCCATTTGTTGTGATCCACACAGTCAAATGCCTTTGCATAGACAATGAAACACAGCTAGACATTCATCTTGTACTTTCTGCACTCAGCTAAGATCCATCTAAAATTTTCTATAATGGCTCTAGTGCCACGGCCTCTTCTAAATCCAGTCTGCACACCTGGCAGACTTAGAAAGTACCCAAAGAAGGTGTAAGAAATACACAGAGTCACTATACCAAAAAGAATTGGTTGAAATTAGAAAATTTAAGAATGTACCATATGAGCAAGAGTCAATGACAATGAAGGGAAAAGCACTAGAAATGTACTGGAGCATTTGCAAAAAAGAAGACCTCAGGAATAGATGGGATATCAACTGATATGTTTCAACAAACAGATGCAGCCTTGGACGTGCTCACCAGTCTATGTAAGGAAATTTGGATAGCTACTTGGCTGACTGACTGTAATAGATCCATATGTGTTTCCATTCCCAAGAAAGGTTCCAACATAATGTGGAATTTATCAAACAATATCATTAATATCACTAGAAAACAACATATTGCTGAAGATCATAAAAAAAACCCCACAGTATATTGACAGAGAACTGACAGGTGTTCAGGCTGGATTCAGAAGAGGCTGTGTCACCAGGGTCATAACTGCTGATAACATATGGATACTGACTGAAAGCAGAGAATATCAGAGAAATATCTATTTTTGTTTTATTGATTAAGCAAAGGCATTTGACTGTGTGGATCATAATAAACTATGGGTAACATGAGACTAGAAATCCCAGAATACTTAATTATGCTCATACGAAACCTAGACCTAAAGAATCTGTTTGTCCAAACAGAGTGATGCAATACTGCATGGTTTAAAATCAAGGCAGGTGTGTGTCAGGGTTGGGTTCTTTCTCCAAACCTACTTGATTTGTATGTTGTTGTTGCTGTTGTTGTTGTTGTTGTTAAGTCCTGTCAAGTTGTAGGTGATTCATAGTGACTCTATGAACGAAAGTCCTCAACACTTGTGACTTTCATCTTTTCTCTAGGTTCATAGGGTTCCGGAGGCAAGCTATTACAGAAGTGGATGTCACTGCTGCTTCCTAGCTTGTTTTAATTGGGGAGCAAATAATTTTAGAAGCTGGATTCTGTGAAGAAGAATGTGACATCAGGATAGGAGGAAGAGTCATTAACAGTTCATCAATTTGCATTATACAGATTACACACCCTTACTTGGTGAAAGTGAGGAAGACTTGAAACACTTGCTGCAGAAGATCAAAGACATGGCCTTTGACATGGATTGTGTCTTAAAATCAAGAAACCAAAAAGACTCACAATTATACCAATAAACGTCATCATAGATGGAGAAAAGATTTAAGTTGTCAGCAATTTCATCTCATTTGGATCCACAGTCAGCACCACAGAGAGCAGGAGTCAGGAGATATATTACATTTTTTTAAAATCTGCTGTTAAGTTTAACAGGAGAGCAAGTAATAAATGTTGGAGAGGATGTGGAGAGATAGGAATTCTTATACATTGCTGGTGGGATTGTAAAATGGTACAACCACTCTGGGAGGCAGTTTGACGTTTCCTCAAAAAGCTGGACACAGAAATTCCTTATGAGTCAGTTATTCCACTGCTTGGAATATACCTCGAGAAATTAGAACTGAGGCACATGCAGAGATCTGTACACCAATGTTCATAGCAGTGTTATTCACCATTGCAAGAACATGGAAACAGCCCAAATGTCCAACCACAATAGAATGGATTGAGAAATTATGGTATATTCACATGATGGGATACTATGCACCACGCAGGAGCAATGATTTTGTAAATTATTACCTAACATGGGAGGGATTGTAGAGCATTATGGTAAGTAAACTATCTCAGTCCCATAAGGAAAAATATTGTATAAGGCCATTATTGTAGAGCAAGTATGAGTACTCAAGTAGAGAAAGGCGAGAGCAGAATGGTGAGGATGGGTGGGTGCAGGGATAGTTAATCATGTTGTTGCTGTTAAGTGCTGTCAAGTACGGCTCATAGTGACTCTATGAACAAATGACCTGAACCCATCCTGTCCTGCATTATTCTCATACTTCCTGACACACAAGAGCCCATTGCAGTGGCCACTGTGTCAATCCACCTGGTCAAGGGTCTTCCTCACCTCCACCAACCCTCCACCCTTCCCAAAATCATGTCCCTCTCCAGGGAATAGCATCTCCTAGCAATATGTCCAAAGTATGTGAGGCG